CACAAAAACAGTTGCACCTCACTGGAGTTTCTACCCTGCTGATGAGGAGCAACCATGCTATGATGCAGTGATATCTCTACTGAGAGTACACATTGGAGGGAACTCTCACTCAACTACCCTACCCAGTCATCATGTAATGTACAGAATGAGATATGCCAGGTAGGTAGCTAGCAAATAGTATCACATGCGGTGTTCTGCCACAGATGTCAGTCCCTGAGACTGGGGGACAGGAATCTTATCAGGACACTCCTCCCACTCAACAGGACAGCTCTACTGTTGGTCAGGACACTCCTCCCACTCAACATGACATCATAGATACCACCCAGATCACCTCTCGTCAGAAAAGACACTTTTCTCAGGTCTGTGCACCTGTGTGCCTCCACATCAGATTGATTCATCAAACAAACACTTTGTACTCCTCTCTTTGTCCAGGCTCGGAGGAGAGTAAAGCAGATCTTCAATGACCTGGACAGACGTCTCAAGTCAGCTGACAAGAAAGACCAGTCAGAGGTCACTATTATCATAGAGCAAAGATGTTACCATAACAATAGCAGGGAGTTACATTGACAAAGTTTTCTTGAGGACAGGATGAGCTCCTTTGCAGCTTTTTCAGCGGACTCATAGTACATGAGTAGGACATGCGAACAAAAGCTAATGCTTTGCCACTTTTACTGTTACAGTCACGGATACCTTCCGGCTACAAGTTTGATAACAAACATCCAGGAATACAATTCTTTGGGGGTCCGTGGAAGCAGTCAGTGACATCAGCTGGTGCTCACATCACCTGGAGGGAGGAGATAGGGGTGGAGTTTGACATCCCTCCCGGGGCAGTCCCCGAGGGCAGAGAGCTGGATCTGAGTGTCTGGCCATGTTTTAATGGTCCATTCCTTTTACCAGATGGCTATGAGCTAGCCAGCCCTGTCTTCCTCATACCTCCCACGTTTGAATTCTCTCGAGAAATAACTGTGACACTTTGGCACTTCTCTAACCTAGAAACCGTGGAGGACAGTGAGAGAATGGTCTTCCTCTCTGCACCTTCCACTCCTCACACAAAACAGGCTGGCAAAAAGCCAGTATATCAGTTCAGAGTCCTTGGAAAAGGGGTTTTTGAGCCTCGCCGGAATTATGGCCAAATTTCACTGACTCACTTCTGTTTTGGTGGTATTGGTCGCAAGCACAAGAAGCACTCGTCTCCTTCAGACAGTCCTGTTAGTAAAAAACCAAGGGGTGAGATATAATTGAATTGTCACCCTTTTTAATTTTATTAGCCTACTTCTGAAACAGATAATAGGTATGTTTACCAAGTGTATCAAGATAAGCAGTTTGGAGATAGAGCGATTTTCTCGGCATTCCTTGACCATAAACTCCATTCTACTGTAAGTTTTTCTTCTTATATACATCATTGCTACTGTAACATGGTCTTTTATTAGGAACTTGAAGAACATGTTAAGAAATATTGGCCTCAACTTTGGTCACCTTCTTCCGTCCCAATCAGTATTGAAGGGGACAGGGTAAAATTGCAGTGGCCATCCAATACAGGCTGGGTTATTACTCCCCATAGAGAGCCATGTGAAGTAAGTGAGAGAATTTGATGTGTGGTACTGTTTATGATTATATACCACGTCCACAGTTAACAAAAGATATGGTGGATTCTCATCAGAGGCATCCATATCCCCCAATGATTATGCTGCAAGTTGAGAAAGCTCCAACATCAAGTACACTCTCTCCAAGTATTCGAGTGGACATAGTTGGGATCCGGGAACAGGGAGAACGGTTCATACTAACACCAAAACTACGGCAAACTGGTGAGTAATATCCACTGCAAAATTTCCACAAGTAATCTTTTTGCCTTTCCCTCAGGCCTTAACCTACAGAGCTCCTTATCCAGTCCGTCCCACACTCTCCAGTCTTCACAGATGGTTTCTTACTCGTCCTCTCGTGAGCAAGCAGACACTGCTGGAGCAAGTGTGGAGCAAGCAAGACAGAGGTCAAGTCATCCAAACCTGAGAGATCTGCTCAACAACATTACTACTACCAAATGGTATGTGTTTGGGTTGCAACTGACAAGCAATATTGAAGAGCTGAACACAATCAAGACCGATAACAAAGGTGATGCAAAAACTGCCCTGCAAGAAACACTTAATCTTGTTCTTAGAGAAGATCCAGATCTGTCATGGCAGAAAGTCGTAGAAGCATTGCAAACTATTGGTGAAGTAGCAATGGCTCGAACAATAAACAAAGAATTTTGTTAAAAATATTTCCTCACTTATATTCATGTTTTAATTTTATCTGATTTGCAAGTATGGACGCAACTGACAACCCAAACCTATCAACTACACATCCA